ATTTCACTTTTAAATTCAGAAATATTTTTTTTTGTTGCAGTCCTTCGGTATGAAAGAAATGGATTAAGGTACACGTCAAGGATCATGAATTTATTGGTTTGAAATACGGAAAAATGTGCAATAAATTCAGTAATTAGTCAGTTTCTTTCAATGGGATTAGCTGGCTGGTTTAGTAATTTGAAGACTTGGATTAGGCCATGAAAATTAAGCGATAATGTTAGCGTCTCATTGATACGGTGGGAAAGTTCAGGAACTCATTAAATCGCATTTAGGATAAAATCATACATAAAGCTACAGATAAAACGAATCCAAAGGTTGGGAGAGAAAAAAAAAAGGTGGACTATTTCAAAGTTAATCCGACATCATGGTATTCTCATCTCAAACAAAATATGCAGATTAGAACATTTAGTTTTTAAATAAGATTTGAGAAATGGAGACGTCCTAATAAACATTGTGGAAACCAACCAGATCAGAGAGAATTGGAAGATAAAGGGCATAAAGATCACTCCAACTTAACATTAATTCAATAAAGTAACTTGTTTTAGGCTTGGCCAGATTTTGTCATTTTGTGAACACAAGTGTATACAAAACGAAATTTCATTAACACTTTCTAGGGCAAGTTACCATTTTTGATGAACCTTAAAAATAGAGTCCCCCCCTGTCCCTCAGTGAGGTCTAGAAGCACTAGATCTATATCCAGTCATTCAGCAAAGATACCGCTGCATGGCTGTACATCTTATTTTGGCATTTGACCAATTAGATGAGCCTTTGAATGATATACTTTCTACTGCAAATTAAGTTGGGGAAAAAAAGGTAAAAAAATAATTGAAAAGTTAAAAAGCTAACCAGCCTGGATAACTATTTTATTTAGGTTTATAAACTAATAAATGTATGTTGGACCAAAAAAATGTTTCTTTCACTTTTTCATGAATTTCTTATAGAAGCACTTTTGCTATTTTTTTCTTAATATATTCTAACAAGTTCGTGTTTCTTATTACATTGGCATTAATTTTTGCCATCTAAATATCCATAATGTTACACTGCAAAAAATGTAAATCTAAGTATTTTTTTCTTAAAATAATTGCATTTTTTCTTGAATTGAGTTGGTAAGAGACACTTTGCAAATGGAACAAGACAATTTACATTTTAAATAAGAACAATTGCATTGTCTTATTTCAAGTGCATTTAATCTAATTATCTTATTCTAAGAGTAAAACCACTCATTCTATTGGCAAATCATCTTAATATACTTCAATTAAGGGTAAATATACTTAATTTAAGAACTTTTTACTTATTTCTAGATAGTTTTTTGCAGTGTACAAAGGTAATAAGGTATTGTCCTGGGTTCCACACTGGAAAAACTCCAAATCTGGATGAGTCATTTTTTCTTAAAATAAGTGCATTTGTTCTTGGATTGAGGAGGTAAAAGAGACATTTTGCCAATGGAACAAGACAATTTACATTTAAAATAAGAAAATGCAATTGCATTGTCTTATTTCAAGTGCATTTTATCTAAATATCTAATTTTAAGAGTAAAAATACTCATTCCATTGGCAAACCACCTCATTTACCTACTCAAAATAAGGGTAAATGCACTTAATTTAAGACATTTTTACTTATTTCTAGATTGTTTTTCCAGTGATAATAACACTATTGGCTTCAAATTTTAAAGTATTTTTAAAGTGCAGCCTTGATAAAGGCAAGCAGCAGTGATAAAACAAGTATAGATATATTAAAACGCCTTAAATGAGGTTTTCTCAGCCAGCTGTATGTAGCTGCTGTTTGCTTATTTGGTGGCTAAAATAAAACTTAATGTCTGAACCTGAACTGATGCCATAACGGTGAATTAAATGAGATAACTGTTATTTACTCTTTAAAAATATGTTTTAAAATCTGAAACATGACTGAAAAAGAAACAAATCTGTAAGAAACAAAGATTTTCTCAGCTTAATAAAAGCTGCGGGTTGTAAATTCAGATTTATTCTTCCAAAAACATGAAAATACACCAAATTCTTCACTTTTTACAGGAGTTTTTTTGACCCGGTAGCAATTTAAGAGTTTAGTTTAATTAAAGCACAAGTGTTTTCCTTTCTACCAGTTTTCCTTTATTGCCCATTCATCTGTTTACATTATGAACCACTTATACATCACCAACCACCAATCGCTCTGAGTAGTTTATTTCTTTTTCTTCTGTAGATCGTTTTCACACTAATGTAAGCAACATCAGCAAGTTAACACATAAAGCTTAGCATTTCAAGAAACAAGACAGTTTAGTAACAATACAAAGGTTTTTTTTTTCCAACTTCCAAAATAAATGATAAAAAAAATGTACGAATGAAAAAAAAAAAAATTAAGAATTAGCATAAAATTAATTTAGAGTAAAAATACAAAATAATATTAATGACATTGACCAGATATGAAAATATCCTAAATGTTTGAGAAACGAGTCTGTAAGAAAAAAAAAATATGTATGAAATAAAAAAAAGTAAAAATGTTTGAATTCCTTTTTTTTTTTTTTGCAAAACTAAAAAATAAAAATGAAAATGCAAATTTCTCAGTACAAAGGCTACATTACTACTGGAAGGTTCTAGCAGGTAAATACACAGTAGAAAATGATTTTAGTGGATCACAATGCTTGCAATGAAAATCGTTTCGCAATAAGATTTATGCCTCTTTTTTTCTCGTTTTCTTTCTTTTTTTTTTTTTTCTACAAACAGTACAAACAGAGTATTGCACATTACGACAAAGAATCAAGGTTGTTAGCCTTAAAAAAAGGAGGAAGGGGGGTGGGGAGGGGCTAATTCAAGTCTTGCGTGAATAGAAGGCCACCATTCAATGGATGCAACCTTTGGGGGCTTTCAATCAAGTTACAGGTGAAAACACTCGTGTCTGTTTAGTGTTAAAAATAACATTCTTGTCTTTTTCTATGTCCAGTGACTTTCAGAAGTCTTTTTTATTTCATTTTATTTCCCCAACTACGTCAGGCTAACGAATCAACTTCTTATTTTCCTCTTTTTTTTTTTTTTTTTTTTTTTTTTTTTCATTTTTTACAAAACAAAAATGGGAGCACATACTTTTAAGAAACATAAAAAACCTCTTTTTAAAAAAATAACAAACAGAAGATCTCTTTCACAACTCTGGTCAGCATAGTAGATGATTGATTATATAAAAAAAGGTGGGAAATCTGTTTTTTTATTTCTATCCGAGCACCTGATATTTAATGTCTGTAAGAGCCTCTCTTCTCTCTGACGCTTCAAACCATTAAACCGGTCGGACTTCTGCTTCCAGCCCAGTAGACGATTCTCTCACTGCCAACATCATATTCGTTATAAAGCTTTGGCTCCTTCAGTTACTCTCTTTAAAAAAAATAAATTCTCAAAAAAAAGCATAAAAAATTCATCTGATAAATCATTTCTCTTGAAGAATTAAATTAATATATATCTGTCCATCTGAATAAACTTAGAAAATATCTGTTTCTCTCCTAATATATTTCAAAATTGAGGTATTGCTAAAGATTCTCGTCAGTCTTTTCCTGTTCTTTAACAAAAAAATAAACTGTTGCAGATGGTTCAGATACAAAATGTAGTGCAACACAAATACAAAGAAGAACAGGAGAAAATGTAGAGAATAGAAAACTGAATAAAACGGGCAAAGAAATGTCTGAAAAAAAAGATCTATACCCAGAACTTACTTCTTTATGGATGCTTATCATTACTGAGGAATAATCTCTCTTCTGCTAAAGTCCAATTAGGTTTTCTATATAAAAAAAAAAGCAGAAAAATAACAGTTTACGACTGAAAACAGTTCAACACACACAGCCGTGTTCGTCCAACCAGAGCGGATCTCGCCTAAAGCGGCCGTCCGTCACATTTCTGCACGTGGCGTTCAGGATCATCTCCCACCCCTCGTTCTATTTCAGCTTTGAAAATACGCACCTTTAGATAGAACCTAAAAATATATCTTTATATAATGTCCACCTTTTTTCAGTTTTATTTAGCAGGTCCGGTACTTCAAGCTTTGCAGGAGACAAAAAAAAAGAAAAAAGTTTTAAATCTGGTGATTGCTTCAACCGTGGCTCACTCATCCGCATCTCCACCTTTTCTATCCAAACCCCTTTCAATACATCTGCATGTAGAAGGGCTCAGTTTATCGATCTCAGATCTCCAGTAGCTTCATGATTTCATTTTGTTTTTCCACACTATCCGAAAAGACAAACAAGTGAGCTCTTTGGTTGCGTTTTGGGCACAAAAAAAAAGCATTTCTTTTTACTTTAAGCCCTCAAGTTCTCGGTTTAAGCTCACACGATTTTTTTTCTCTCACCGTCTTCAGGGTCAGACTCGAGTTATGAAGGGTCTGGAAAAACAGCCGTCCCTGGTGTGTCGTCATGGGTATCCAGAGGTGCAGACGTGTGTCAGAGTGTGTGAGTGTACAAGAGAACATATATATATATATAAAGATGTATATACGTGTGCATATACTAGTTAATGAAGTTTCACAGGACTTCTATGTCGGACACTCACGACAGTTAAAGCGAATCACAGTTCTAGGCATACTCAGATCTAACTACATACAGTATAAAAAAAAATTGCACAATTATATCAACAATCACCGCAAATAAAGTACTTCACCTATTAGAAAGGTTTTAACTGTAGTCCTACACTTCATTTGTGATTATTATGCTTATTTTAAACCACTGTCGTCGTCCTGATCAGTGGCGTGAAGTCGCCCCGCTTCACCGTTTCTGTCTAGTTTTACCCCGCAGAGCCTTGCAAAGGCATTCATGCCACTTTCTCATATTACAAATAATTTTAAAGTAGTTTAGAGAGGATTTTATGTGACAGACCAACACAAAGTAGTACAAAACTCTCAAAACTCCGGTTTGCTGGAGATCAAGGAACTCAGCTGATGGATCAGAGAGGAAGTTAATCTCAAAGCAGGTTTAGATTTTAGAGCAATAATCCAAACGGCGGACAGTTTAGAGCTCTGTTCATAATCTGAACATGGAAAAAAAGTGGAAAACCTATCAAGAAACGGTAATCAGCTTAGAGTGAGGCTGGGGAAAGGATCAGACAAGCAGTGAAAAGCCTGATGGTAACTGGAGGAACTGCAGAAATTCACAGCTCAGGTGGAAGGACAACTATAAGTTATGCTTTTCCTGAATAGAAAAGAAATGTTGAAAAAAAAAAAAGCTGCAGATTATGAAGGAAACATCGAAACAACTTCAGCTTCACCATCAAGATTATTGAAAGATGGTTGGAGCTAAAAACGGGATTAACCTGGAGAGAAAGAAACTTCCAGCCGGATCTATAAGGGAACGGTTTAGATCCAATCATGTTCATTAGTAAGGATGGCCTAGTCAAAGTCCAGCCCCAATTCCAAATAGGAATCTACAGCAAGGCTTTAAAAGGTGATTAACACTAATCTGGTCACAATAAGCTGGTAGAAGAACATGATGCTGTAACCATGGAGACCCATCAGCACACAGGAATATTTTCCTTTTTTTAACCATTACCAAAAAAAAACAAGCGTCACATTTTCTTTGCATTTCTGCACATTTTCTGTGCTACTTTTCTTTGGTCTGTTCACATAAATTCCCAATAAATTATAAATTTGATGGAAGGTGGAGAAGTTAAAGCAGAATGAATCCTTCAGCAAGGCACAGCACGACCTGCAGTGAAAAACACGTCAGAATCCGGACCTGCAGACACCGTCAGGAAAAAGGCTTTCGCATGCAGCAGCCCGACTAGATCAAACATGCAGTTAGGGGCGAACCACCCTGATCCCCCCCTCCCCTCCACCTTAACCATTGCTGCCTGAGACAACTCGTCGCCCTGAAACGCCAGCTGCTTCTATGGATCACTCCTCTCTCTCTCCTTCCTCGCTGGAAAAATAAAGTACTTATGGTGTCCGTTCATACGGTGGACTTAGCAGCAAAGCTCCTGCAGCAGTACGTTTACATAACACTAAAAAAAAAAATCATGTTATTATAAAAATAAAGACCTAGATTTCGAACGCAAACTAATCTGATTGTGAGGTATTAACATTTACAGAGTCACGATCGAGAGTGAATATATCAGTTATTTTCCTCCCTAACTACACAACAGCTGTTAATTCTTGCTACATGTCAAGCCGCCTATTTTGCTTTAAGGTTTACTTGTATTTAATTAGCCTTTGGTAGTCTTTTATTTCATTTAGGGGCAACATAACTACAGCTGTTTCAAAGTAAGTGCATGCTCCTTTTGCATAAATTTAAATTAGCTATGTCTAGATAAGTAAAAAACAAAAAAAATATATCCATCTATATTGGTTTTAAATATGTAAATGGTCCCAGCTCTGCTTCGGTGAGGGCGTGCCAGAGCGGGGAGCTCGAAGTAGCTAGGTGTCGGACATACCAAACCAACCGTGTGTGTGTGTGTCTTCATGTGTGTGTTTTTAGTGAGATTTTGTGCCAAAGTGCAAATTGTAAGATGATTTTTTTTCCATTTTCCCCCACAAAGCTTCATCAGAGGGGAGCACTGGACAATGTTGGATACTGTTTTCTTTTTTTTCTTTTTTTTTCCATAACGGGGGAGTGGGGGTGCTTGTGGGAAGCAGGGTGGAGCTGTGGGGGATGGTGTCCCCCCCCTCTGGACGATCCGATGTGGGTTCATAGGGATGGTAGCGCAGATCCGTCGCCCTCTCAGCTCCAGCGGAAGGACACGTGTCGAGGGCGGTCGCCCCCTTCCTTCACCAGCGGCTTGTGAAACTCCCGGCCGGCTCGGGAGTGGATGCTGGCCCAGCAGTACTCGCAGTAGTACTGCAGGCAGGTGACGTTGGCACAGAAGAAGGGGGCGAACTTCCCGCCGCAGCGCGCCCCCTGGCACTCGTCGCACATCTGGTCGTCGAGGACGTACGGCTTCACCTCCACCTAAAGAAGGAAAAAGAGGTCCACTTCAGCTTTATCATCAGAGTTAGATACCATCCTTCACTATTAGATTAGATTCACCTTTATTGTCATTACACAGGTACAGGTACAAGGCAACGAAATGCAGTTTAGGTCTAACCAGAAGTGCAATAGCAGCGGTGCAGGATAAATAATGGTTCTATAAATACAGGACGTGTGTATTTCTACTGAATGAGTATAGAGATGGATACTATTATAAATAATATATAGATCACTAGTGTTATGAACTAAATTTACAGCTGGATATGTACCGTATATAATATACAGATTGATATTACTATTAAAAAAAGGTTTTTACAGTTATGTACAATAGCATATATACAGATAGCCTCGTGAGACCATCCTAATCTCGCAAGCTTTCAAGGTTTCACTCGCTAATCAGTCTGGCTACTCTCCGTTGAAGAAAATTTGGAGCCGTTCACCAAACGAACGTCCAATCAGCGTTGGCTTTGAGGCGGGTTGAGGTATGACGCAACGAGAAGCGCGACAGTTCAGTCTAAAGAACATGGCGGTTTCACCCGATGAAACTAGCGTTAGCGTGGCTATCGAGCAAGTTTTATCGGAATTACAGAGTATTTCTTCACTGAAAGAAGAGCAAAACACTGCTCTGGAGGCTTTTCTCAGAGGAAAAGATGTTTTTGCTCTTCTCCTGACTGGTTTCGGCAAGAGTTTGATCTATCAATTGGCTCCTCTTCGTTGTTGCTCTGTTAGTACGTCATATGCTTCGTTGATCTGATTGGTTTATTTGGCCCGTCTATCACCAACATAGGCCAATCAGCTAACCAGTATTTTCGCCCCTTCCCAAAATTACTTCAACGGAAGGTTTCCAGATGGATATGCGGAGCAAATCCATCTGGCGGAGTCAGGTTAACTCTATAATGCCAAATGTATTATATTTGATACATACGGTTTCTGAAATGTTTTGCGTCTGACACCTTTTGCATAATTTAATGGTAAAAACTTTGCTCAAAATCCTATTGTACACAATCAGATATACCTGATAACAGAGGGCAGAAGACTACACAAAAAATTATCTTGACTTATCGCATAGTAATAAATTATTAATATCAAAAATGTATTTCTGTTTTGTTAAAAGGCCAAATAAGGACTTCAAACCCAAAAAAAAAAATTATTTTCTCTTTTGTTTTATTCTTGGATCGGGCTTTAAAGTGTTCATATACAGATGGGTTTTACTATGATATGAATAAATAAAGTTTGTCCAGAAGCTAACTAAATTAAAGTGCAGTGGAAGGTAATTGCATATTACAGTTAAAGTACGTTATTGCAGATGTAAATTCATACAATTGGTGCTGTGAATAAACAGTCGGCAGTGCAAATATAAGCAGTCAAAGTGAGTAGTGCAAGATGCATATAAAGAGTTGTTACAATAGTAACAGTCAGGAGTGCAGGTGAACTTTACAGTCTTAAAAACTGAAAAACTCATCAAGTTATTCCCACCTATAAAAACTGAAGTATTTCTAATATTGACTCTTCTTGTAATCTATGGCTTCATGTTTTTTCCCTAGATAGAAATATCATGTCGCATATTTCTCCTCAAAAATGGGAAAAACCAAAGAAAATTCCACTCTGTGACCTGGAGATGTTGAAAAGCAGCATTTGTTTGGTTTCAGTTCGATTAATTCCAATGAAATAAACCCTTTAGTTTATATTATTATATTTTTCTGGGGTATAAACATGACGAGACACCTTGAAAACTTGAAGCTCCATAAAAAGTAAAATGCTTCCGATTTCAGCTTGCTTAAATCTAAAGTCGGATAAATAAAAAGGTTTCAAGCAGGTGGGGAAACATTTATAAGTTGACAGGGTTCCAGCGGGTCCTTAAAAAGTCTTAAAAGTCATTGAATTCTTCAAAATAAAACTAAGGCCTTAATTGGTATTAAAATGTCTTAAATCAGTCTTTCATAGGTCTTATTTTTTTAAAACATCATAAATAGGATTATTTTTATTACGATTTATTTTTGTAATCTAAATAAAACATTAAAATTGAAAAAAAAAAAACGTTTATTTAAAAAAAAAAATAACAGCTCGCCATTATTGATCCCGTCCCGATAGCGGAACCAATAAAAGCGTTGTTGCAAAATTTGAAACATTAGTGCAGTGGTTTATATTAAAATAAACCTTTGGGTTAAGTTGTCGCAAGCAGGTTTTTCTTGTGTTTCTGTGAATTTGGTCTTAAATTTTTATTTCAAGTGGCATTAAAAAGCCTTAAAAAGTCTTGAATTTAACTCTCCTCATGCTGTAGGAACCCTGATTGATACACAGCAGCAGCAATGAGCGGCTTCATGGGGTCAGGATTATAATCCTTCATACCATCTGGTAAGGGACGGTCATCCTACTCTAGATTTGTTTAAAACATAAACTTAACTGATCTTATATATTATATTATATCAGTTAATTTATTCCTTGTTTCAAGTGGAGGAGTTTAAGTATCTCTGGGACTTATTCACGAATGAGGGACGGAAGGAGCGTGAGATTGATAGATCGGTTAATTATAATGAGCTCTGAAGAAAACTGTAACTTCTAAACATTATTATTTATATATATATATATATATATATATATATATAT